GTAATTCGGGAGTTACACAGAGAGTTCAGACCAGTGAAGCAATGGTGGGGTCCACTTTGGAAACCTCTTTTATCTCATTCCAAATTATAATTTGTCTCAGTCAATCATAGATGAGGTTTTAGATGGTTCAAATACTCAATGTGGAGATCTATGTGTATGGCACTTAAGACCAAACACAAGTTAGGCTTCATTGATGGGTCGATTCAAGCTCCTCTAGCTACAGATGCACAATTCTCTTTATTGGGATGGTTATAATACTCTAATATTGTGTTGGATTGTCAATTAGTTGCGGAAGGAGATAGATTGTCGTATCATGAATCACGAGAATGCTCGCTTTTTTGTGGGAAGAATTGAAGTGAAGGTTTGGCCAACCCAATGCTCTTCGAATCACGAACTTGGATGATGAAATCCAAGCTTTCAAGCAAGGGGATAAATCTGTCACATAGTATTATACAAACATTAAAGGGATAAAGGAAGATTACTAGAAAATGTTTCCCCCATTATTCCATGTGTATATGCACCTAGCAATCCTAACCCTTGCACTACTGTTAAGACCTTTAAATTGAAGTAGGAAACTGATTATCTGCTATGTTTTCTGAGAGGTGTGAATAAGTGATGTGAAGTTTTCAAAACCCAACTGCTCATGCTCAAGTTACTTCCCACTGTTTCCGCTACTGTTGATGACATTCTTCATCATGAGCAAAAGATGAAAGGATATCCTTCTACTAAAGGAAGCCAGTTTGTGGCCTTGGCAACAGGGAAGGAACAATTCAAAAGGAGACAAGTTTTTGTCAATATTGCAAACGAACGGATCATACCATAAAGGACTGCTGGAAGCTGAAGAAGAAAGATAAGGAAAAGGTTGTTAATTCCTTTGCAGGATCTGTCACTAAAGATAGCCAATCTTAAGGAAGTAACAACACCACCATTTCTGATGGAGTGTATATTCATTCTAAGACCATACTTGGTTCTGCTGATGATATTACTTGCTTGAAGACATTACTGCAGTATGGTTTGGATTCAGGACCTATTTCTCCAGGATCACCAAGGATAGCTTCTAAGGCTTTTTCTGTGTCTCAATACTTACGTGCATTTCCCAATCATGTTGGTAAGTATGTTCTTTCTTCACATGTGGATTTTGAACATTCTGCATTAGCCAATTTATGAATTCTAGATACAGGGGCCTCTGATCATATCAAATGTACTTCAACCATTTCATTGATTCTACTGCAGTCACAAACACTTTTGCTTATCTTCCAAATACTGCTAAGATTCCTATTAGTAACATTGGGGAAGCTAGACTTCCATCTGGTCTTACTTTACACAACACCCTACTAGTCCCTAGCTTCACATTCAACCTCATATCTGTTAGTAAGCTGACCAATGGCTTGCCAGTTTCTTTGCATTTTCATTATGATGTTTGTGATCTTCAGGACCATCAGAACTACAAGAACATTAGTTTGGCAAAACAAACTAAAGGTCTATACCACCTTACATCCACTTCATCTTCATATCTTAATCATGCCCTTCCTCTACCTCAGGCAGCCAATACTGACAAATTTTAACCACAACCAGTCAATCTTTGGTACTGCGTTTAGGCCATCCTAGTAGAGATAGTTTTCATTTACTTAAGCAACAACATTACATTGTTACTAGTGAAGTTGTTTCTCACTGTGAAACTTGTTATTTCTCCAAAAAAAAAAAAATCTTTCATTTCCTATTAATGACAGCTCTTCTCTTGTACCCTTTCACTTTATTCATGTTGATATATGGGGGCCCTTAGCTATGAAATCCTATGATGGCTTTGCTTATTTCCTCATTATAGTAGATGACTATAGTCGTGTTGTTTGGATTTACCTTATGTATGATAAAGATGAAGCTCGAGAATTGTTACAGGGTTTCTGCAGTTTGGTTACACAATAGTTTGGCAAAAGTGTTAAAAAGCTATACGTAGTGATTAGGGTATGGAATATAAAATGGATTATTATTGCAGATTACATGGGACAAAACATTAGACTTCTTGTGTTGAGACTCTTGAATAAAATGGTAGAGTAGAATGTAAGCACCAACATATTCTGAAGGTTGCTAGGGCACTCAGATCCATTCAGGTGTTGCATTAAACTTTTGGAGTGACTGTGTCCTTCTCTCATTCTATCTCATGAATCGTCTTCCCATCCCAGTCTTACAAAATCGTTCCCGTTATGAACTTTTGTCCCTTCGTCCACCTAATCTCAGCCAATTGAAAGTGTTTGGTTATCATGGTTATGCCTCTACCCTTACTCAAGGTCGCACCAAGTTTCATCCACGAGCTATTCAATGTGTGTTTCTTGGCTAACCTGCTGGTATCAAAGGGTACAAAATGCTTGAACTTTCTTCTTATAGAGTTTTCACTTCGCATAATGTGCTTTTCTATGAGAATATTCTCCCCCTTCAAATTTCCTTTTCACCCTCCTCCAAATGTTCATCTTTTGTTCTTATCATTCCAGATGCTACTCCTTTGTCTCCTTCCTCTATTCCTTTCTGCCCAGTTACAACTTCTTCCTCTGAGGAATCAGGTGCGGCTAGCACTTCATATGTTTCTTCTTCTTCTGATTCGTCACTAGTTGTGGATTCTCTTAGTACTGAGTCTTCCAATGTTGTAGACCTATCCTCAGTCCTTATATTAGTTCACATGTTGATCATTTGGAAGAGCATGATGGTGATGATGCTCAGGAATTGGTTCTATAAGAGGACTTTGAGCCTAATAGAGACAAACTTCCAATGAAATTTGAGGATTTCTATGTGGGATTTGCTAGCAAGTATCCTATAGATAGCTATCTCAACTATGATCAACTTTCCCCTACTAATCGTGCCTATGCATTAAGTATTGTGTCTGAAATAGAACCCGCTTCATATAGTGAAGCAACTTAGTATGAACATTGGAGAAGAGCCATAGATGAAAAGACTCAAGCTCTGGAAGAAAATCATACATGGGATGTGGTACCAATGTCACCAATGAAGAAGGTCATAGGGAACATGTGGGTCTACAAAATTAGAGAGGACCAGATGGATATCTTGAAAGACACAAGGCCAGACTTGTTGCTATGAGATTTACACATGCATATTGTATTGATTTTTCTTATACATATTCATATGTTTCCAAGATAAACTCTGTCAAAGCTGTATTAGCAATAGAAACCAGTAAGAGATGGATTTTGGATTAAATGGATGTCTCCAATGCCTTTCTTCAAGGCGATTTGGAGGAGGAAGTCTATATCGAGTTGCCACCAGGTGATCCACATACTAATGACCCAGAGAAGCTGGTTTGTAGGCTCAGGAAGTCCTTATATTGAATAAACATGCAAGTAGGCAATGGTTTGCCAAGCTCACCTCATCTCTTCTTAAACATGGTTTTGCACAGTCTGCCTCAAATTACTCCTTGTCTACCAAATGGGTGCATGGTCATTTTGTTGTCCTTTTGGTTTATTCCAATGACATAATCCTGGGGGAGATGACATGAAGGACATTGAGGAGGTAAAGAAGTTCCTTAGCATGTATTTCAAAATGAAAGACTTGGGGCCTTGAAATTGCTAGAAGCAGTGCATGAATTACAATTTGTCAATGAAAGTATTGCCTGAATTACTGAAAGATACAAGATATCTTGATGCTAAGCCATGTAAGTCACCTTTAGATACCAAAGTGACTTTGAGAGCCAAGTAAGGACAACCATTGGGAGATTACAATACCACATGACAACTATATTAGATTTGACCTTTCCTATGCAACAGCTTAGCTAGTTTGAAATGGATACTTATATTGAGCACCTTTAAGCAGTCTACGGGATTCTGAGATACATCGAAGGATCGCCAAATCAGGGGATCTATTTCAAAAGTGACTCTTCATTGTTGCTTTCTGGCTATAGTGATTCAAATTGATCAAGCTGCCATGATTCCATAATGTTAGTTAGTGGTTATTGCACATTCCTGGGTGATTCTCTGGTGACTTGGAAGGCTAAGAAGCAGGCCACTGTGTCTCGATCGTCTTTAGAAGCTGAATATCGAGCTTTGGGTCAGCTGGTATGTGAGTTACAGTGGATGAAAGGATTACTTACAGAGTTGAGTGTAAGTGTTAAGCTACCTATTTTAGTCTACTGTTATAACAAGTCCGCTATTCACATTGCTGAGAACCCTATATTTCATGAAAAGAACCAAATACATCAAGATTGATGTGCATGTTACTAGGGAAAGAGTGACGTCAGGGTTGATTAAGCTTGTTCATGTGAGGACTATTGATCAAGTTGTTGATCTTTTCACTAAAGCCTTGAGCAGGTTTCGAATTGTAGATTAACTGGACAAGCTTGGCGTGCAGACACTCCAGCTTGAGAGAGTCTATAAGAAAGCCTAACTAGGACTAAAACAGTTGACGAAGTCGAAGCTCACTTCAATGGTGAAGTCAAGAGTTGAAGGAGAAGGCGTAGTGAAACACGTTTCGGACTCGAATAGGATTCGTTCTATGGGAAGCATTTCGAGCATTCGACGGTTATGCGAAGGCGTATATCTATTTTTATTTAGATAGTGCAGTTAGCTTTATGTCTGGCTTATTTGCTTGCACCACATGTCAAGGTGAATTTGATTTTCTATTTTACTTACCATTGTAAACACTAAAACTTGAAGTGAGTATAAATACAACAAACTAAACCCGTAGCTGAGCTTTGCGGGTTTCCGAAGTGACTTATGTTAAACTCGATATTTTCTTCAGAATGTCTTTTTTCCTCTCTTTTCGAGACTTTCTAAAACTTAAATAGTTCTTAGCAAAGTAAATAATTATCTGAAAATTCCAGGGGAAAAAATAATGATCAGAAAACAACTTCGAACGTGAGGAGGAAACTATCAACACCACAAAACACAAGTACTAGAAAGTAGAAAATATATATTTGAATTCCCACCAAAACAAAAATTGTCCAAAAACATAACTGAAACAATATCACATATACATTAATCTAGGTGTCGTTGTCATGGATATTTCTGCGGTGTGAGAGTGCCACCTGGCTGCGGATCTGCGTGATTGGTGTACCAAAATTCATTTCCTTCGCCCACTAGGATTTCCCGTTTGATTTCCCCCATTTATTTCTATTACAAAAATACTTTCCTCCCCCATTTCCCCTCTCCTCCTCCACTCCATCAGAAACGCCACCATTTCTTCCTCCCCTCTCCACCCACACAAAAAAAAAAAAAAAAACAAAAAAAAACAAAAACAAAAACAAAACAAAACGCTTCATTCCTTCCTTCCTTCTCTTCGGTTCTGTTTCTCTCAGAACTACCAACTTGAGGGAAAAGTCTGCATTTTTCCTCAATTCCAACTTCACTCAAAAACCATGGCTTCTCTAACCTTGTTCTGCAGCTCGATTGCTCCATCATCCATGGCGGTTTCCACGCGAACCCACTTCCCAGTTCTCCCTCACGAGCTCTCCTGCTGTGATCACCACAATTTGCACTTCCAAAGCAGGAAGAGAAGTAACAAGAGAAGGCATAAATCGAGTAGTCAACCAGTCGTCAAAGCAGTAGCGGCGGCAGAAGCCCCGCCGGCGACCCAACCGAGTGGGGAATTGAAGGAGCAGAACAAGAAGAAGCTCAGAGTTCTGGTCGCCGGCGGTGGGATTGGTGGGTTGGTGTTTGCTCTGGCAGCAAAGAAGAAAGGGTTTGAGGTAATTGTCTTTGAGAGAGATTTGAGTGCTATTAGAGGAGAAGGGCAGTACAGAGGGCCGATTCAGATACAGAGCAATGCTCTGGCGGCGCTCGAGGCTATCGATTTGGATGTCGCTGATGAGGTTATGAGAGCTGGTTGTGTTACTGGTGATAGAATTAATGGCCTTGTTGATGGGATTTCTGGCACCTGGTTAGTTCCCTCTGTTCTGGGTCTTCCCTTCTTTTACCATATCTCAATGATTCTGTTTGGTCTTCAAAGTTTGCATTTTGATGGCTGACATAAAAGCCGAAGTTGTTTAGGAGAAGGCTATGATCAAAAAAGTTTAGTACTTTTGATTGGAATCAGTCAGCTGCAGCGAGATGATTTACAGAGAGTGATTAGTAAGTAAAATTGAGATCCACAAACTGTACAAAAGAACACACTTGTGTGCTGTGACAGGTTAATTTGGTTTGCCAATTTTACTGCTGGGTTTGTTTATTTTCAGTTAATTTACTATTGGGTTTGTTTATTTTCAGTTAATTTAGTTACTGTGATTGAGGTGGTCGTATGTGGATTGTGGGGTTGTTCTGGGTCAGTGAAATTGAAGAGAAATAGTTGGTTTATAACAGGTACGTGAAGTTTGATACATTCACTCCTGCTGTAGAGCGTGGGCTGCCAGTCACTCGAGTTATAAGCCGAATGACTCTGCAGAGAATCCTTGCTTCTGCAGTTGGTGAAGAGATTATCCAAAATGGTAGTAATGTCGTCGATTTTGAGGACGATGGAGATAAAGTAATGAACATCATGTCGTTCTGGTTTCTGTTTCTTGTTCCCTTCATTGATTTGGAGAACCTTTTAAGTTTTTGTTTTCACTGATCGGAAACTTTTGACTCCAGGTCACTGTGACACTGGATAATGGAGAGCAGTACGAAGGCGATCTCTTAGTTGGTGCTGATGGAATATGGTCAAAGGTTCAAAACGCCTGTAGTTTTTCTCAAATCTTATTATTTGATGGTGGTATACAAGTTTGTTTTGCTTTAACATCTTGTCTTCTCTCCAATGTTTAGGTGCGAACTAAGTTATTCGGACCAAAGGACGCAACGTACTCTGGCTACACTTGCTACACAGGCATAGCAGATTTCATTCCAGTTGACATTGAATCTGTTGGGTATCGAGTGTTCTTGGGTCACAAACAATACTTCGTCTCCTCTGACGTGGGAGCTGGAAAGATGCAGTGGTATGCATTTTACAACGAAGCAGCTGGAGGAACAGACAAGCCTGGTGGTATAAAATCAACTTCCTTCTCTTGGAGGTTCTTGATGCTTGTGGTTTGTAGTGTACTTTTAGTCTGCGTATTCGAATACAAATTTAAATTTGTGAACTCAAATCATCACAGGTAAAAAGGAGAGGCTGCTGCAGTTGTTTGAAGGGTGGTGTGACAATGTGATAGATTTGCTCCACGCCACGGATGAAGAAGCCATTCTCAGACGCGACATATTTGACAGGACTCCAACTCTTAGTTGGGGAAAGGGCCGGGTGACATTGCTCGGGGACTCCATTCATGCTATGCAGCCTAACTTGGGTCAAGGAGGGTGCATGGCTATAGAGGTAACACCTTAATTATCCTTGTTTTTTGAGATTGGGATATCTATTAAGATTAGCTTAACTGCTTGACCTGTGTTAAGGAACTCGGAACTAAAGCTTTGTCTTCAATGAAAGGATGGTTACCAACTGGCAGTGGATCTTGTTAACGCGTACGACCAAAGCATTGAATCAGGAAAGCCAGTGGACGTAATCTCTTCTTTGAAGAGGTATATACCAAATTCTGGTTTAATTCTTCTGGCTCGGCTAAGTAGATTACTCATCATTGCTATTGTTATTTTCACAGCTACGAGAATGCTAGGAGGTTACGAGTAGCCATCATCCATGGAATGGCTAGAATGGCTGCAATAATGGCTACTACCTACAGACCTTACTTGGGTGTTGGGCTTGGACCATTGTCGGTATGTCTTTTGATGTTCGATGAAGAGAGAATGCTGCGGGCAATAGCTGGGAGTTTTTATACTGGTCCATGATGTTTGTGTTTCTGAAATTATTTTTGCAGTTCTTAACAAAGTTCCGTATACCGCATCCTGGAAGAGTAGGTGGGAGATTCTTCGTGAGCCTGGCTATGCCTTCAATGCTGAGTTGGGTCCTAGGTGGTAATAGGTTTGCTCCTAAATCCACTCCTTGTTATCTGTTCCATATCGTTTCCCTAGTTGAACATAATGTCATATATGTGACTGTGCCTTTCATTCTGCAGTTCAAAGCTGGAAGGGAGGTCAGCATCGTGCAGACTGTCGGACAGAGTATGTTGCTCTCTTGATTGTTTCTGCGTTCTGTGAGTCGTCCTTTTCCATGTTAAACTTAATAATGGATTGTGAAGACTTCTCAAATGTGATTGTTGATCACAGGCTAGTGATCAGTTGAGCAGATGGTTCGAAGATAATGATGCACTAGAGCGTGCTCTTGATGGAGAGTACGACCCTTTGCTTTTCATCACCTTCAACATGTTCTAAACTGCATGTGCAATTCATGCCAATCTTTTTCTTAGTTGCACTTTTTATCCATGTTTTGAAGGTGGTTTCTTCTCCCATCTGGACATGAGGCAGCTTCTTCAGAACCTATTCATATGCCTCGGGACAAGGAACAACCCCTCCTCTTCGGGGCTACATCGCAGGAAGATTCCTCTGGAGTATCTGTAATCATAACATCTTCTCAGGTAATCATTTGAAGGATGCTATTAACGTCACTCTGTCCAATCGTAGAAGAAAGGTAAGGTGCAATGCTAACTACAAGTCTACAACCCATTTCTCATTTCCCGATCTTTAGGTCTCCCCACAGCATGCTCAGATTAGCTACAAGGATGGCTACTTCTACTTGCTGGATCTCAGGAGCGAACATGGAACCTTCATCACAGAGTAAGTTTCTGGAAGTTTTGGCTCGTGCCCTATTGGTAACCTTGACATGGAATCCTTCACTAAGTCCAGTGTCTACGATGATGCAGCAACGAAGGGAGACGGTACAGGATACCTCCAAACTTCCCAACCCGGTTCCATCCCTCGGATACTATTGAGTTTGGTTCTGATAAGAAGGTTCTCCCTCTCTCTTTTCTTTGAAAAACTGCTTGATTAGGTCTGTGCATTCTGGTTGAGATTCTGAGTTTTCCTCTGGTGCAGGCCGCATTTCGAGTGAAGGTACTTCGGTCTTCTCCAAAGGCGGCAGAGAAGGAAGAGAAAGAAGCCGTTCATGCAGTATGAAAGATTTTGGTGGTAGTTGATGAGGAATTTGTACAGCATTTGTTAGCAATTTGAGCAGCAAGTAATGTATGCTGCATAGCTATAGGATTGAAAAAGAAATGAAATGGGTGAAATATACATTGTTGCAGACTTTCAGCAGCAGCTGAATGATGTAATATATTGAACTTAGAATGAAAAGCAAAGGTTTTCGTGCTTCTTGGCCTACAGACAGGTATCTGCATCTTTTCAAAGAAACAGTAAACTGGAACACCAGAAGGGAACAATTCCTACAGAGAAGGAATTACACAGACGAGGACAATATGTACATTTTGGAAGCTTTATTTACGGCTCTGCCAACTACCTGCATTCAGGAAACAGGAGGCGAACCTGTTTGGTCAAGAATGCATCTCTTTTATTATGTTGGCAACAGGATGAGGGAGCCAAGCCGTGTTTCCACCAGCTTTGTTCTCATCTGACTTCGACCCCTTCCCAAGTTTGCAGCTCACAGCTCGTCCAACGGCCATACCGAGCTTCATTGCAGTGAATGCGCCCAGTGCAACAGCCAACGGTCTAACCACCCAGTGAAAATCCTCCACGTGCCTGTATTTCTCCACAATCCCAGGACACGTGTCGAAGGTAACGAGCTCAACCTGATCTGGATCCGCCAAGTAGGATTCTGAATCGTCACCACCAAACACAAACCGTCCTGGGAAGCTTACTACGAGACATCCGTTTGGAAGCACGCGTGAGACTCGGCCAGTAGCCCAGACAGATCTTCCCTTGCGAGGCCAACTGAATCGAGGAGAAGAAATGTCAGCTTTCAGGCGTACGAATTGGCCTAGATAGTAAGGTTGAGTTACTTCAAGCTTGGAGACGTCTCCCATCCAGAGGATTTCACGTCCGGCAAATCCAACAGCTGCACGTCCATTCCGTTTGATGGAATGGAGAATGCCGACACGAGAGTGGTTGCTGCAGTTGTTGTCTGCCTTCAGACGAACCCAGTCACCAGCTGAAAGACCATATGCAACCCTCACGAGGGTGGACTCCTGTATCTTCACAGGGTTGTGAACTCCGGAGATCTTCACCAGAACGAGTCCAGATCTTTCAGAGTCTGTTCCGACGACTGTTCCTTTCTGCAGAGGTAAGGTCTGCGGCTTTTGTGCGTTCAGGGGTTTTCTTGAACGGACGGTGTCGTCTACTTGGAGATAATCTTTCGAGAGGTACCAGGTTGTATAGCCGACGACAGGTGACTTTTCTTGGAATGATTTACTGCCCCGCTGTGGACTAATCCATCCTTCATCGGCTTGAACAGAAACCTGCGAGCTGCAAATACACAAAGTAACCCCAAACTCAAGGAAAAGAAGTAATTCCCAATTCCAACAAATACAGTACTTGAATCTATTTTCAACCACATCACCCTGAACTACTCTAAGCTCTTCTTCATCATAGTCGATGGCAAGTTCAAGGATCCATGTGATATTTTCTATTAATAAATTTGGGTGAATAACTTGACGAAGAAGGCAAGTAATTAAGCAATAATCAAGAAATAGAAGTACCTCTCAAATGCAACCAGGATGTCATCCATTAAGGGTCGGTTTCGTGGATCATACTCAAAACAGCCGGAAATAACATGTTCCACGGCAGGAGGCAAACCGCTAGGTATAGATGGCCTCTCTTGCTTGAACACAACAGCTTTATAAATCTCCTTCAGTGATTTTCCAGACCAAGGATGAATCCCAGTCAACATCTCCAATATGCTACATCCGAAACCCCAAGAATCAGTCTCCAGACACAACGGACCTCTTGCTTCTGGTTCCCATTGTTCAGGGGCCATGTAACTTGGAGTTCCAAGCCTCAAGGCTACATCTGAATTCAACAAAGGTATACCTAGAAGAAGGTAAGGGATGCCGAAATCCCCAATCACTAAATGGTCGTGCTCATCGAGAAGGCAGTTGGAAGGTTTGACATTCAGTAGCAACAAACCAAGCGAGTGTAACTGTAGGACTCCTCTTGCCAAGTCAATGCCATATCTTCAAAACATGCAAAGTTTAGCAACAAGACATATAGTTACATCCAGTGGAAGAACACTGTATATTCTAGTGATGGTACAGAAGTTTGTAGATGAGACCTCAAGACATCTGGTAGTTTGAGCTTGCCTCCCTTTGATCTAGCAATCTGGTCAGCAAGTGATTCCTCATAGATTTTCATTGCAATGCAAATCTGCAACATCAGAAACCAATCACATCATCAGCACAAGAGCTTGTATTGGAAGAAATAATAACACCAACTATTTTAGATTATGGATTGTGCCCAAGGACCAGGAGTTGATGGATTGTTTCCATGCTCATATAAAATATAATAAAAAGTTGATGGATTTGTTGTAGTGACAATGATAAAATTTATGTATATAGTGGCAAGTCCCACCTGGCCATTTATCTTTGAGATACCATGCAACCAACAAACGCATTGGAGTTCTCTCATTCTCATGAACAGGCCTTCAACATTCTCCACAAATTTCTGCCCTAGGTCATCCTTTAGAGGGTGTAGCACCTTGACAGCTACTTCATGGTGCTCGTCAAAGTCATCGGAAGACTGATGGTGTGTTGCTAACCATACATCACCAAATGTTCCTCGGCCAATCCTGTGCTTGAACTTCAACTCAAAAGGATTGATCCATGGCACAGTCTGTGTAGGTGTAGCCACAACTGTTCTCAGGTGGTCAGGATCTCCATCAAAGAGCTCGTACTCGAAAGACGCTGAAGGCTTGTGCAGTCTGATCGACTTTTCCATTCCCTATTTGAGATAATAACAAAATACAATCATGTAAACAAAGAATCAGGACGGAAAACTCTACAAGCATACCATTTCCATATACACAAATAAGCCCTGCTGCCAAAACACAAAGAGCCAAGCACAGTAAACAAAGTGGTCAATTTGCTACAAAAACTCAGAAACTTGTAGCAGATATAGAGTTACCATTAAATCATACATACAAGACCGTACAATTGTGGGTAAGAACACACTAGGAAATAGCGATCCTATCACTATAAATATGGGGAAGCTTGGTTTCGAAGTTAGGATAGTGATTATTTGAAAGCACCAAGATCTATTCCCTTACAAGTTACAACGTTATCACAAAAACAGTTAATTCAAGCTGATAATCATAAAACGATGAATTAGGTAAAGAGGAAAGCATTAATTGTAGAAAAAAAACAAGAATTTGGGAGGTGAAAGTCCTCCGGAAGACTTCAGCCACAAGAAATACTATCACTGCAAGTTTGCTTTTGCGCACCGGGTCCTGTGATCCGGAAAGAGATCTAGCCGGAGCGTTAGTTTTCCGGCCGGTCTTTAATTCGAAAAATCGGCATGAAACTGGAAGCAAGGAAAGTTCGCGAGATAGTCTCGACTCTCGAATCATCAATTCTTACAAACACACACAGGATTACGAGATGAAATTAGAGAACAGAAATGCTCAGCTGCCGGTCTACCTATTAGAATCAGACACTTCTGCAGGCCAGCACAAGACGGCAAGCGAGCCTCCATCGTACTTACGCTACGAAAGCGAATGGTAGAAGGAGAAAAGCAACGAAGCTTACCGGAACGGCGAGAGATTGGCGAGAGAGATTTCACGGAGAGATGATCGGAATGGTTTTCAGTTTCTCCGTCGGAAGGAAGCGCAGGGGAACTGCAACGCAGGCGTGGGGACGTGGAGGTATCCGCCGGGCCAGGGGTGGGGAACAGACGACGAGGATTCCAACTGCCTTTTTTCCGGATTCGAATTTTTCTTTTTTCGTGTACAAACAAATAACTGCAAATATCTCTCATTTGGTCAATACGACGGTGCGCTATTAACACTTTGTTTCCGAAGGAAAAGATGAAAAGGAGGGGAGGTGAAGAAAAATTAGGAGGGGAGGGGAGATGTGGAGGTAAAGGAAATTGGAAGGAAAATGTTATTTTATGAAGGAAAGTTGGAAGGAAAGTTGATATTGAGAAATGTGATAAATATGTAATTTTATTGGTTATGTAATAGTAAAATAGTTTGATTGTATGTTCATATCCTCCTTATGAATTAAATTTGTACTTTCTTTCTAAACCGCACCCGAGATTGTACCGGAAAAATTAGTGGTAGGATATTTTGTTTTACAACTGTGATTTAACCACATCAATTATTTATAAATAGAGACTTTATAATAATTGATCAAACATTCTAAATCAAATAAAATTTATTCAACTTAGTTCGAGAGAGGTTATTTATACCGGCCCGTCATCGGTTAAGTCATCGGGAAGCACGTAGATACCTGTAAGCCTCAATATATCATTATCCTTTGCCACGTTCACTAATTCCTACTTCTCTTCACGGACTGTCTATGGGCAGATACGGATCTCTCAGAACTTTGAGGTTGTAATATTCATTTCATCTCTATCAATAAATAGCAAACACAGCATAGGTTTCTAGCTAGAGTGAGATATTATACAATGTTTAAAAAACACAACCGCTGGCCGATCGGACCATAAATATCAAATATTGGACCCAAAACAGTAGGCAATTTTAGCGGTAAAAAATGATTGAACTATAATTAAACCACTATTTTAATACAAGATACACTACTTTCTCGGTATAAGTATAACCTCCGGTACGGTTTCCCATTAGAAGCGTAACACACTATTATTTAACTTTTCAAACTATTAGTAACAAAATATTGCCCAATTAAAATGTGACCTATATAGATAAAAATAAGTGATAAAATAAACACTTCCCACTTTTTTTGGCTTTCACAATGTCGTGCAACCATATAAATACTTATTAAAAATATAACCTCCTTGCATATATTCACAATAACGCATTTATATCTTCTTAGCAAAAACAAAAATTAAAAATAACATACTCATTTAAATCAGACCTCGTTGGGAAGGGAAACGAAAAAAGAATAAAAGAAACCTATTCCACATTAAACAGTCTCATTGGACAATATAAAAAAAGAACTTAGAAACCCAAAATAAAAAAATAAAAGAAACGGAAAAAACAACGGAAAGATTGTTTTTCTCCGATTTGGGAGAGAGCTTCATACAGTAAATGTTCCACTTAGTTTCCTCGCCTCCGCACTGTTTGCTTTATTCGGAAACGGAGGAAAGTTCCTCGGGGAAGCCACTTTCCTTCCCTATTTTCCTTGCCCTTCCTTTTCCATCGTTCGGAAACACAGTGTAAAAGTGACACTATATTCTATTGGGCCAAATGGCTGTGACGTGGCACCAATCGAGTTTCGAGTCTATTAAATCTAACTTTAAACCCAGTGGTCATGAATATTGGACCCAACCGCTGCTACCCAAACAGACGGAACAGGACTTACGTCCCCATTATTGCTTATTTGCTTGTTATTTTGAGTATAATTAATTTAAAATTGGTGTAACTGTTGAGCGTCTTTGTTATTCGGCATAAATGGGGGAAGGAAACCAAAACACATCGTCGTCTCCTCGATCTCCTTCTCCGACTGACGGTCTAACAACACTTCCGACGACTTCACCGTGGTCGATCCCGACTCCACAGAATTACCTTGCCATATCCCGCAACATTTATCATGTAAACAGAGGAGAAGGAAGCCTTTGTCTTGATAGACCTCTGTCTTCGTCGAATATTGCCTCGGCGAAAGTAGAGTCGCCTTCCTGTGCGTCGTACCCCCTGTGGCCTTTCTATTGGACTCGTCGAAACAAATTCCTAAATGTGTGGAGCGACTTACCCACATAATGTAAAGTCTTCCATGTAATTCGAGACTTCAGTAATAGATATTCGAGGGAGTATGTATTTTCCGGCAAGGGATGCTGGGAGGTTCAACGTGTCGTTTAATTTCTCTTTTGCCTTTGAAGGGACCGAATCAGGTTAGTAACTCACCCATCAGTAACTGTCGGTAATTCAATCATTTGTCCCCACGTGTCAGTCTTTTCCTTTTATTTAAATTAAATACGGAGGGGCACTAAGGTAAATTGCACCCCCTATTTGATGCTGACGTTCTGACGCTAACTTTTTGACCAGACACGGATCTCACTCCCCCACCCTACACCGGTTCCCCTTTCTCTCACTCTTTGTTTTATTATTAAAAGAAAAAATACATTATTTCTTCTCTCTCCCAACTACAACAAAAATGCAACCATTCTAGCTATCTCTGTTCTAATTCCAACTCAAATTGAATGATGATTTTTTCGTTAAATAATTCAATGCTAAAAACAGTAATTACAAGTATAAATATGATTATCACTTTCTACTATCATGGTAAAACATGGTAAATATGTTGAAGAAAATTACAAATCTAACTATGATACAATACCACATGGTATAACGTGGTAAAACATGGTAAAATATGTTGAAGAAAATTAAAAATCTAACTACCATACAATATCACATGGTATAACGTGGTAAAACATGCTACAAAAATTTACAAATCTAATTACCATACCATACCATATGGTATAACATGCTAAATAAAATTACAAATCCAACTAACACCACATGGTATAACATGGTAAATAGGTTACATAAAATTATTAATAATTAAATATAACTATCATTCAATACCACCATAGTAGAAAATGGTTAAGAGAATGAACATAAATTAATTGTAATTACCATACAATACCACATGGTATGAGAAGGTAAAACCATACGAAAATAATATAAATCTAATTACAACCCTCTACGACCATAGGAAAACATTATATCCATAAAAATACTTTTCGTTACCACACTTTACCATATGGTATAGACACATTACTATATGGTATAGTGTGGTAATCTCAATATATATATATATATATATATATATATATATATATATATAATTACGACTCTCTTCACTTTCTTCTCCCACTTCATTTTCTTCTAACTCTTCTTTCTCGGAACTGTTGTCGATTACCACCCACTACCATCATGATAAAACTCGTGACCATAAAAATATATTTAGTTAGCACACATTACCATATTGTATAGTGTGGTAATATCAATATACATTACATAAAAGAAGGGAAAAAACAGAATGAGGGAGAGAAAAAAAATCGTCTTCGGTCTCCTCTCATTTCCTCTTCCACAATCAAGAACACCAAATACAAAAAAAAAAAAAAAAAAAAGAGGAGGAAGATCGGAATTGAAAATTCACAAACAAATACTAAAACATAAAACATGCAAACTCGACTCACCTAGATCTACCCCCTCCTGGTCAATATGGAGCGTCATCTATTTTGAGACCGAGAAAGAAAGAACAGAAGGAAGGAGCAAATCGAGAGAAGAATGATATGGAGCATCACCGAATTTGAGAGGGGAGGCTGCAATTTTTTTCTTTGTCGATTGGAGAAAAAAAATGAAGAACAAGATAAGGGAATAGATCTAGATCTGGAAAAAGGTGTTTGGAAGAGAGAAACGGAAAGAAAAAAGAGAGAGAAAGAAATCTGGTTTTTCTCTTTCCTCAATTAAAAGCCAGCATATAAATGCTTGAAAAAAAAAGAAATAAATAAAATTAAAAAATCGGACAAAAATGCCCCTCCCGCACCCCGCGTCAATATCAGCCACACAATGTTTCCCCCTTAAATCTACGGTTCTCATTTGATTACTGATGGATGAGTAACCTTTGGTTACTCACTGTATCCTAAGCCGCCTCTGAACGTTGTGAGTCAAGGATGCGGGGAGGCTCGATTTTGTCTTGTTTCTTTCTCGTTCTAGGTTCAGCGGGGAGCAAGGGAGTGGAGCATATGGCCCTGTTCTGCTGATGTGTTCTCTTCCCTCTTTCAGTTTATGGTTTTGTTTCTTGTGTAATGGAGAGGGCTGTAATTTGTAGTAGGATGGTGCTATTTGCAATTTGGAGGGTGTTTTGGGTTGTGCATTGATAATCGGCTTTAATATGTCTGATTCTTGAACTGTATGTGATTATCCCTTGGTATGTTTAAGCCGATTGGTGCTATTTTAGGGCTCCCTAACCCGAGAATGGTTGAAAAACCATTACTGCCTAGTGCCATGATTTTGATGTATTACAGGTGAAGAAAACACGAAAAAGAAGTTGCACCGGCAAACAATTCTCGAGTCACTGGCTAAGTAGTACGTGGGCCTGGATGGAGCAGCTTGAGGGAGTTTAATGACTGGTTGGTGATTATTTTGGGCCTGGGACATGGAACCGGGCTCAAGGCCCAGCTGGATTGGAAAAGAGGGAGCGGACCTAATGGGCTTGGAATGCTAATTTGGAATGGAACCAGCTTTGGAGGAAGAGTGGGTAAAAGGGTTTTGTCGTCTTTTGGGGGAACAAAAAGTGGACGGAACAAAAGTCTCGAGGGGGAATTTTGTGGGCCAAAAAGAAGTGGGCCAGAAGTCTTTGGAGGCGGCTGGAAACAAAGCAAAGAGGAAGCTGGGCATTATTGGAGGGGGGGGGGGTTGAAAATATATTGGAGGAGGAGACTTTTACAATAAAAAGGAGAAAAGAAGAATTCTCGGGGGCGGCGGAATTAAGAAGAAAAAGGGAACGATTGCTTTTGGGCGAACGAAAAAGGAGGAGGACGAACAGAAGAGCGGCGATTTGGGATTTTGGCGAGCAGCAGCTCGACGAGTGGCATCTCTCAAGGCGACGTGAGCTTTTAACAAAAACAAGTTATTTGGTTGGATTTTCTAGTCCAGATTATTTTTTTATTGTTAATTTAGAACATGATGAACAAAACCCTATTGTTTTATCTCAATTTCATCATGAACTAAACCCCGATTTCTGGGGGAAACACCAT